GGTAAGATTTACCACGTGAACTGCAAGACTGCTTAGCAAATGCATATGCACTTATCCGGATACCAACTAAATGACTGATTCTGTCATACCTTGGGCCTTTTTACTGTTTCAAATCAGAAGCATTCCTATGCTATCAAATCCTTTTTTACATATTCAGTAATTCACACAGGACTGATGTTTGATTGTGCTCTGCATTCCCTCTATGAAATTTTTGTGTGAATATAGGTAGCAAGACATTAATTATTATGAAGACTAAAAGGTACTTTTTGGTAATTCACATCCTGGGTTACTGTTTTGTCTTAAATTCAACAACTAACCAAACATAATTAAAACAAATAACTTTCATTTTACTTGAAACATCTCGAGCATTGATAATAAATGAGAAATTTGGAAATAAATGACAGTGCTCAGCATGTTTCCCTAAGAAATAATTTTATGTATTTTTAGTTAAGTTTGTTCTCATGTTCAGTAACAGTGAACTGATTAAGTTTACTTCGATTTAGGAAGTGGATGAAAAAGCATACCTGGCTGAACTTCAAAGTTTAGGTGTCTGTGTAAATTTTGAGAACTTCTTTATTTTCCAAGGAAATGTTGAAACTTTTGTCAGGATGAAAGCAAAGAACTTCACTTCTGTAATTGAGGACCTCTCTGGGTAAGGAAATTCTTCAGCTCTTTTGTTTATGGTAAATGATGTAATGTAATTTTTGTAATCATTGAAACTCTGCTTATACACAACCAGAAATGAGCAATACATTTGTGTAATTACAATAAATATCAATTACAGTTGTTTCCATAATTCATTTTACTAGAGTTGTATGATTATATATTTTTTCATAATGCAAATAAAGTAACAGCAATAACAATTATTATTCTTTAAGTATTTTGTTGAGTTCTTTTTTTATATCTCACAGCTCTGGAACTCTGAAGACAGATTATGATGGATTACACAGAAAAATGAGGAAGTTAGAGGACCGACTTAACCAGCTGGTTCTCCAAAGGAAGACTCTAATGATAGAAAATAAAAAGAAGAAGGCAGAAATGCTGATTTATAAGGAATACCATAATTTGATAAATGAGCTGGTAAGGATTTCATAAAGCTTCAAGAAAATTGTGGTGTCAACATATATATGTTATCATTGTCCTTTTCCAAAACGTGCTGGACAGTCCTATGGTAACGTGCCAATAGAGTGAGAGTTCAGTTATGTTTATTAATTAAAATCTTATTAAATGTTTTACTTTATAATATTATTTATGTTAATCAGTTAATGTAAGTGCTTTTGATTATGTGACTCATGTAATTTTATATATGTATCTTGATATATCTGTTTTCAAAGGGACCATTTCCACATCCTAGGTTTGTTACCTGTATGGATATTTGGAAAATAAAGAAAATGAATGAATGAATGAATGAATGCTACTCATAATATATTTTAATTAGCCAGCATGTAGAACGCTTGTCTTTGAAGCCGCTGAGACCGCAGTGGCATGTTATGGACAGCTGAGCAAAGGCAGAGTGGAATAGTTTAAGATTAATATCTTGTATTTCTCTTCAGCATGAGAGAAGTAAATTATAATTCTGTGTATAATTTCTGTGTGTGTAAATGCTTTCAGCCTAGGACATACAGCACTTACTTCTTACATACAGGAAAACATTATACTGCATGGCACAGTTTACTAGTAACAGAATTGTAATATTGTCACAATTATGGTGTCATGTACTGTTGTAGACATCACAGTATTGTAGAACATTTAACTGTCTGGTGTCATGTACTGTTGTAGGCATCACAAAATTGTAGAATATTTAACTGTCTCGTGTCATGTACTGTTGTAGACATCACAAAATTGTAGAACATTTAACTGTCTGGTGTCATGTACTGTTGTAGACATCACAAAATTGTAGAACGTTTAACTGTCTAGTGTATCTTGCCAAAACAACTGAACTCAGAATCTCCATTTTATGAAAGCTACATACGAATTCATATAAACAGGCATAAAACAAGATTTATAAATCACCAAGAGGTATTAAGAATAATGACATGAATTATTTCCTCTGAGATGTAACGCTGCAATTGCTTCCTGCATAATGCTGGTTTCTTGTTTGGCTTACTCCTCATTCGTGAACATAGAAGTGACATGTTCCTCCTAATTATTGGTTGAATTTAAATGGACTGCATTGAATTCTATCCCAGGAGGTACAACTCTGCATAACCATTGTTGGGATAACCTCAAATCCTATATATGTTTATGATTTGAATCTTTCATGGTGTCTATATATGCTGAAATTTTTTTCAGGTGATCGGCTATGTAAAAATGACTGAGTATCTAGCGTTTCAACATTGTACCCCGATGCTGGATACTCAGTCCATATTGACATAGCTTACCACCAGAATAATTTCATGAAATATAAAATATTCTTATGT